CTAAACCGGATAATGGTAGAGTCAGCCTTCGCGCCATCCGACGAGCAGCCGCTAAAATACTTCTACCTAGTTGTGAGTGGTTTAAAAAGGATACGATACTGATGCAATATGAGTGTAAGCAGAAAATACGGGCTGATCCCTTCAACGACTTGCAGCGGGCTACCCTGTGGTAAAAAGGAGGGACGGGACCGTTCTCCAGGGACCGCAGTGGTGAATGTCTTTCTGGTTCCAAGGTCCTGATAACAGGGATCGGGGAAACCGCCGGCGAACATCGTGGTAACTCACAGCCTAGTTTATCCCCTGGGATGCGGCATATCTAAAACCTATCATCTGACTAATCATGAATCGTACCCTCAGATGGTCGACTGAAGGCATTATGGACGCATTCATCAGTCGGGCAACAAAAACAGCCACTTGCCGCAACCGCCCGTCGTACTTTCCTCTATAGCGTTGTTCTTGAACAGCCCTAACGAACAACACGAACAAATTTCGGGCGCATTGATGATTACTTGAAATGAAAAAACTGTTTACGGTTTCGTTCACGTAAACACCGGTAATAAAGCATATGAAAGCACAACAAAACTCACTCCCAGCCGTACGTGAGGACAAGCAAACCGCAGAGCTTCCCGCGAGCAATGGCGCCGCACACTAAAACAAAACCATTTAAATGGGTCGACAGTCTGCATTCCGTAGGCACTCGGAAATGCAGAATATCATGGTTTTTTATTACTGTAAGACAAATAAAGAAGCTTTGATGCCTATTAAACGTCTCAATCTTCCGCGGCTTAAAAGCCAAAAATCAGTGCAGAAGTTCTGCACAGATTCCGCACAGGTTCTGCACCCAGGAGCGGACGCGTGCTAACTGGGTTTATATGGGTAGCATCTTGAGCCCTTCTGCGAAATAGGTCATTGGCAAGCTAGCGTACTCCGGCGTAGTTTGAAATAAAACGGCGCTAGTAGTTGATGAGCCCGCTGAATCAACGCAGAGCGGACTTTATTGCAGGCGCCGGTGGCCTTGAACTTCAACTCAATCAGGCGAATTTTGGGTTCGTCCGTTTGGTGGCCCGAAATCCGCTCCAAGCCATGGCGGTTTTTAGCTCGACTCTTTCATTTCAAGCCCCCGCTATTGAAAGCATTGTGGAGTTGCTAAAGATTCGCTTCGTGCCGTCTAATTGTAGGGCTGGCGAAATGTATATCACAGGTTTGGCGGAAGGGCTTAATCCAGTCCCCTAGTTCCGCTTGCAACAAACAGTTGAAAGATGTATGCGGCGTTCAGTAAGAGGCTTCATTTCGAAGAAGCACAAACTTGCAAAAAGGAGTGTTGAGCACTGGAAGCACTTGTGAGTCCGGTGGCATGTTAACACAGCGTAAACGTTGCAAAAGGCTGCACAAAGTTGTCATTAAAATCAAGGAATTTCGGTCCCATTGCGGCAGCAATGGCATAACGTCGATAGTCACCTCGTAAACGTTGATCTCTGGGATGTTCGGATACATTCTGGAGCAGCGTAGCCCATGGACAGTCAGACGGCCAAATGACGTTTATGTTAGACACATGCCAGAATGGCAGTTTGGCAGCGCTTATCTTGTTGCGTGCAGGCAAGCAAGGAGGTAATAACATGAACGTGGAAGTCACAGAATGAAAAATACTGGCGTAGTGAACGCAAGGTTGGAAACATCTCAAATGAGTTTAGAAATACTAAGTGCTCTCTTTTGGGCTTGCCGGGAGAAAAGAAATGCACGCTGTGTAAATTATAGCTACTAGATACAGCGACTTCGTTTCGGGGTGATCCAATGCATGTTAAAAGTATTCTATGATACACCAACCAAAGATAATCCCATGTATGGTCGGATTACGCCCTTAAATGGGCGTAGTCCAATGTTAGGTGTTAAGCATCGGTGGTCACATATAATTATAACAGAATGGCTGACGACTAGGAATTAATTCCACGATGCGTGTGAACGCTCATAGCGTATGGGTGAGACTCGGCAAGACTATGCCTCCCAGTCTTGTGGGAGTGCTTGATACACGATTAAATCTCCAAAATATAAAACAGGCTAATAAATTTCGGAAAGCCAGCGGAGGTGTCTGGTTGTAACTGCTGACGCATTAGCACCCAGAATGTAAATTTTTTATGGTTGCAGTAAGGGATGCACTCTTGGTCTTTGCCCGTCACTGCTTGATTATATCGACATGTATCCAATGATTTTCGTAGAGCTTGTAACTGCAGGCCCATTCCACCCTCTTTTAGCACCTGCGAGGTATATATTTTAAAGGACTTCAGCAAACCACCCTATATCCTCTCAGACAACGAGTTCAGGCAGTGGTGCTTAAGAAGAGTTATCCTACTGATTAATTGCTGGCCTTCCACCAAATGTAGCATAGCAGCTTGAATTGCGTCATATTTTCAGGCCAGATAAAATTCGGAAGTTGTCTATCCTGTCATTATTCAGTAGTATTTGTGCACCATATAAGGTTGTTTTCTAGGGCTAAGTAAAACTCATTGACTAGCGAATCGCCTGCCTCATCAATGAAATCTGCGGCTGGAAACTCAGGCGCGTAGCCGTTAGTTTCCTAATTCGTCACGTCTTGCCCATTTTTAACCATAGTTCATGATGGCTGGATATGAATTTCGGATATTTCATGTGAACAGAAGTTATTGTGGATTTTTTGATCGTTTTGGTACACGGGCGGCACACGTGTGGGAAAATAGTGGCGCTCCCGTAAGTATGCCGGCGAAGGGATATGTCGGAAGGGACCCATCTCAAATTCCGGATCGAACACTTCAGGTTACCTGGCACTTGACGCCTCAACTCTGTAAACTTTGGGAAGTATTCCTCACGATAAATTTGTTGTATCACCCGGCCAGTGGTTCTGCAACACAACAATAGCATATGATCACACCAGAGAGTATATTTCAAAGCTAGCGTAAGAAGAATGAATTATAGTGTGAAATGTACACGCAGGCCACCACCAGGCTGTGAGTGAGAGAAAACAGTGCATTCGATCGGAAAGTTGACCAACTAATGTTTTTTTAGGACTCCATTATTTGGTTTCATTTATAGACTTCATGGCCACCCTCTGTTTACCACAGCCACATTTACGAATTCTTGCTCGTTTGCTAATAGAGACACACTCGAGGCCCACCCCAGTTTGCTTTTTTGTTATCCTCAGCATCATACTGAACTTTGTGCATCAATCGTCGACCGACGTTATTACGACTTTTGTGCTCATAATAATTTGCACTACAATTTTACTGGCGACTTGTTGCGGGGGTAAAACCTATGCAGATGACGGTAATTTTTGCGTTGACTTGACCAATTAGGTAAACGAGTTGCAGTATCATAATTCAACGGGTAGCGCGTTTAAAATTGGGGTGAAATCCATCCAGCAGCCCGTGGTCCATCTGATTTAACCTGAAAACTGGCGTTTCCGATTCATTGTAACTACTGGGTTTCGCGCCAGTTCGTCGTGGCTAAAATATTCAGCTAAATTATAGTACGCAAGCAACGGTTATGAAACGCTTGCAGGTTGGATACGACCAAGAAAACTGTCAACTTTAGTCCAATTTTAGGTGCGTGTGTTACCATTTTAGCGTTTGACTATTACCTAGCTGGTTCGCTAGTCCCCGTTGAGTGTGCAAAAAGTGTCTTGCGAACTACTAGGAATGCAGAACTGAAACTAATTTAGCTCATGACGGAGGTCGCTTTACAAGTTTGCAGTGTTTTACGGATGCTTTTTGGACATTCAGAAACGCGCGAGTAGTCTTTTAAGATGCTATCAATATTGATTTCAACATACAACTTGCTTTTATCATGACAGACTTGGTAAGTGTGGGTGACTCCGATGACCACAGTTTAGAAGGTGAGGTTGAAACAAGCGATTAACCACATGTGATATTAACATGTGACACTCGGGATACCGGAGAGTTTAGAAAGTTCTTTCCAAAGAAACAGCAGGAGCTAATGACATAGAACCCAACTTCAAAGGCTGCTGAAAACTCAGCAGGAATTGTAACTAGGAATTCAGTCAATCTCATCAACCTAAATGAAATTTCGTACATAGGCCTAAGGGCAATAGCAAGACTGATCGAATGCATATCACCGATCACGTGGGCTAAAAGTAAGCTGGTAACAATATCTGGCTAATGTCTTTTGAGAATGTGCTCAGAACTTCTGTGAGCGAATAAAGGAAAATAGTCTCACGACACCATAGACGTCAGTGAACTTTTTGCATTGTTCGATCATACGTAAACGAAAGGTTTCAAAACATCCATGGATTTCAAATTTTGCGGGATTCTTCTTAAAAAAGAATGGGAACTGGAGGTGGTCCAGAAATGCCGGGCTGTTTTATGCTAAAGATTTCTTTCTGTACATGTCTTCCTGTAAGGCTTCAGCATTGAGGGATAAGGGGACATGATTAGCTGATGGGTAAGATGATCTCACTTTAGGCCAAAACATTTTTCGTAACAGATTCCACTAAAGGGCAAAATAATTTAAGAAAGCAGTGCTTTCCTGAACGCCCCCCATGGGCTCTGGCAAACGATGCTAAATTATTTTTGAATTTTTAGTGAGATAATGAAGCGGAGTATGTTATTTTAGGACCGGATGGGTCTAAGAAACATGGCAAAGTGATCAGGTAAAATCTCTGATTCCATTCGAGCGAACTGAAAAACACATTTTACAGACAAAATGCACTCGTTCCGTCAGATAACGAATGCCTTCTTATAACGTGTGAAATATACAAATTCGATAAACAGACCGATATCGTAGCCATTTGGCTAAGTGCGGGATATTCCAACAGAAAAATGCAATAAATCGTGGACATTACAGACAAAGCATGTTCAAAGCAAATATAGGCAAGCTAATTCAGTTCAGTAGTGTCGGTAGTATAGCCAGGCACTGGTCGTCGTTGTTCTTTTAAATAAAAAATCAGCGGATATTGTGGTTCTCTGGTAATCACATGATATTCTGTGGCTAAAAGTCAGCGGTGCTCAGGAACCTTCGTCCCACACACCTGGGATGTCCATCACCGAAATATCGGTCACAACAGATTCATCTCTTCTCTCCCGGGCGTAATGAAACATTAGACGACAGATTTGTTGGACGCAAGATTTGACATCCGGATATCCACCACGTCCACTGGCGCAGGCTATCCGCGTGCTCAAGTTAAACGGAAAGGCTAATCGCATCAAACCAAAGGCATGTGGAATAAGCTCATTCCCAGACTGTTGATGCTGTTGCTCCTCTTCTTTCTGGGCGTGGTTTCTCATGGTACAAGGCTTGGAACAGGTCGAATATGAATGAAATGTCGGATGACAACCTTCTCCAATAGCTTTTGGCGCTTTGCGCTTGCCATGTATTCCAGCGATACCGTTTGGTTCCATCAACACATCTTTCGAAGCGGTCCGAAGGGACGGATTCTTGTGTAACTTGTATGAATGTTTAAACTGATCGCCCAATGCATGTAAGCGTGGAAGCAAACACTCAGATCCCGATCCATAGAGTGAACACTGAAATTTTGGAAGCCCCAAGAGCAGTCGGCCTTTGTTCACAAACGATCTAGTTACGCATGAGAAACTGGTACAACGTTACAGCACGAAATATTGAGTGTTATCACACAAAAAACTGATATCAGACGGCAAATTCAGGGAGCCAAGGCTTGAAACAAGGAGTTATTAAACGACTGAGGCAAACTACGTGATTACTGGACCAAGGACAAGCCTGTTTCTTGTAAAAAGGACTTAATTTTCGGATGTGGATCATAAGTGGTCTACAAAGGATTAGAAATCAAAAAGATAAAAATTGCTCGCCGGAGCAGTTTTTACAATCCACCACCCCATCAAGCCATATAATAATTCCTATACACCATATTCTAGTAGATGATACCTTGCATTCTGTGAGTTACACGACGACGCAGGAAAAATGCGGACTCAGCGGCCTACATATCCTTTGATCTTTTTGTGTGATATATAACTAGTATAGACACGAGTAGAGACGCATACAAATATTGTGGTTTGCTACGTTTGTGTTCCAAGTCTTTGGTTTATTGTATTCTCAGTTGTGCGAGTGAACGTCCGATTCAGCGAAGCAAATTTAAATCCGAAATGTACGTCCAGAGTTCAAATGCCGTAAACGCTAGTAAGGGTTTGATGCCTGGAATCAAAAAGGGTCAAAACGGCTTCTTCCCTTGTGCCTGACAATAAGTACAGTAACCATCGTTGCAACCAACAATCAAACAAACGACGAGCATCGATTCAGACTAATTTTTAGAGACGTTAACCGTGACGAGGTAGGCAATCATACTTTTTCTCAGAACATATGGCACGGGCAGGATGGATTCAAAAATTAGATATAACTAATGAAATTTGGAGATTGTGTCTACCTTCTGGGTTCTGAAGAGACGGATCTCGATGTAGGTTATTCATGAATATCGATCGAATGGAGCGTGCTATTAACAGGTGGCATGGTCATAAGCTGCAGTGTTCCGAGCAGAACGATTTCCTCACTGGACGCACGAAGGGGTTCGCAACGTGCCGCTTAGGAACTTTGTCTCTATTTACTTCATTGAAGCGCACAGAAAAATGCTTTTGTTAGACTAAATGAGTTAAACTTTAGGGTTTCAGCTCCTGAGACCTAAATGATACCATAAAACCTTGTGACTGGGTTCTCTAATCAATCTCAATCTAAGCTGAGGCACAACTGAGTACTGTGTACACTCGCTCAGTACTTAAGTCACAATTTTTCAAGTTAAAATTGCACCCAACTATCCAGTTTTGAAGTTTCCTTGATATAAACTGTAATAGCATGTGTAAATTCCATGGATTGTTTACTCTTCAAGTAGAGGACCTAGGCTAGGATTTTCCTAAAATCAATTCTTCTGTTTTCCGCTCTTGTTTGTCCGTTGTAATCACGCGTTTTTTAGACATATGAGCACACTGACGTAAGATACATCTCACCATCCACCAATATATGAGCCACTAAAAAATCAAAAACAAACTTGTAGGTTTTTTCGCCATGCATAGAGACAGTTGCTTTTGTCATAAGTTTGCACATTTTTGTGCACTGTGATTGAGTTATCTGAATTTGCAGACTCAGCGGCAAACACGTTACCTATGCATGTTGTTACATCACACAGTCCTCCGATGGGAACTTGCTTCCCCAATTTGTGCAACTCATCCAAAGAGGCAAGCATACCTAAGGGGACAGACACACGATTCGCGGAACATTCCTGCATTAAAATTCAGCTGATCACCATCAGAATATAATAGCAGTTGACATCAGGTACATTTTTAGCAGATAACGTGTGACGTCAAGTTATTTTCTTTACTTCCAAAAGTTGGTGAATAGCATACCGGACCTAAAGAATACACCTAAAGGTGCAAAAACGTACCACGTTGACCAACTGGTTATCGCTTCGATCGAAAAAATATAAATCAAAAGTTTACATAGAGCTCTTGCAGTTGACATGGCAGCCGAGTGTGCAAACTTCTGGGTGATTGATCAATATACCGAGTTGCTACACTTTGCAATGAGGGAATATTTTCTACACCAGCTAAATATGACAGTTGCCTACGCAGCACTAATCATGTCATACTAGGAAGCATTCAAACAAGCAGAGCACTGAGCCTTTGGGTGACCGGATTGCATGTACCACAGTGTTTCATCTGAATAGAAGTCAAATCTCACCCGAACGTTTTCGTTTCCTTTACCCATTTGGAAGAGTTGGCCGATCAGATCATGGTGAGTATCAGGCGATGTCAAAGAAGCGTTCAGCTCCTCGTTCCTTTGCAACGCACTTCCCAGTGCATTGTCACCAGGTGCGGAATTTTGAATTTGTGTCACTCGAATGGGTAATTTCTGTAAGAATAAACCAGGCCTAAGTAATACAGGGAATAACGAATGGTGAAAAGAGGAACCAGGTTATGAGAAAACTGTTTTAGGTTTTAAATATGGGAAAAATGAGCGGTGCTCCTTCTAATCACAGCATTACCTTAGTTAAGTCCGTTAATTCTCCCAAGGAAAGAACCTTATGTGGGAGACAAGACAACAGACTTTCCCGTCTTCGCCATGGGAAACACAAGTTCTCAGGTATCCACTGCATGCTCTGGGAGAATCTGTTTTTAGGCTCTCAATTCTCTTTACGGACTCCTATGACAGGATGCCATGTGGTGTTGGTTACCATGGTTACAAGCAGCATTGCCACTCAGGGTGTGGTGGAGGTAAGACGGATTCCCAAGACTCGTGACTATGTAACTGACGTTGACATCGCCGGATTGAGATATCAAAAAGAGGGTCCAGCCCCTAAAGTGAACAAGTTGTCAAGCTGCTTAAGTGTCCGGATGTGGGTTAGACACCAGTGGGAAAACCCACAGGTTTATGGACGTCTATCACGCAAAATGGACAAGTTTTGGACAAATAAGTAATGACAAGATGTATATGCGCTTCACATTCAAAAATCTCTATATACAGGTTGAGTTATTTACTGCGGAAAGAAATTGATCACTTAACTGGCACGCGCAGCAACCTGCCTTTCATATAACCATTGTGAAAGGTGGTTGAGCCTAAGAATCAAGGCGCTGTGAGAAGGTTATTCTCCTTTGCGGAAGTACACTCATACCTTTAGGCGCTTGCCTTCTCGCAGAAAGGTTTTGCCTCATTGGTACTAATCGCCGATTTCAAGTGTCCTGCCTTAGTGGTGACTGATTCTGGGAGTACGTTTAAGCATTTTTGGCTGTTCCGTTCGAGATATGTGACTTAACTAGACAGCAAAGTATCCCAGGCTAACTAGCAAAAGGGCCTGTGAAGAATCCCTCCTGTTAACAAAAAAGTTGTCTGACTCTAAGGTATCCTCTCCGTAATCCTGAAATTCCAGCGACAAATCAAAAGACGGTGGTAAGGATTTCGGTAAAAAAAACTCAATCGCAAAGCGAGATATGAACCGGCGGTTGGTGTAGCCAAAAGCACGCTAACATCTACAGGGCCGCTGTTGGAGTGTAGTATGGCTTTCTAGGATCTTTCATACGTCGAACTCCCAAGAGCGGAATTTAATTTAGTTTATACCAAATTTATGTATCTCATCTGTCCAAGAGTTGGCATAAATCTAATATTAAACCAACAACTTCGAAAACACAGTATCTACGATGAATTGCGTGGATGCGATCGCGCTCGGGATCTCGCCTACAAAGGTGGCGTCGTTTGACTCTTCTTGACAAATTTCCTACTATTTTGTCAGTTACAAAAAGGACAAGAGACGCAAGAGACATCATTTTCACGATGCTCCAATGCACTTTATGAAAGTGTTATTAAAATTCGAAGGTTCTAACAAATTGAGTTCATTTTCACGATATTTCGTAGCGGAAAAAAGTCTGCTCGGTCTGTCCGCAATTAAAGCTCACTGAATTGATGTTATATGTCATGTTGCTTTCAGCTCCCGCTACAGAAAATTGAGGTTATCGTTTACCGGTGGGAATCACTCTTAGGGTCTGAGCACAACGAGTCGATCTGGTTAATTGAGACCACCGAATAGTTCTCCAGGAAGTGCCCTGTCTTACATCCCATGTCTAGTTGTACTTGTCAGCGGAAAGCATAATGTTCTGCAACCGCAGCAAAAGAAGAAATAACTAACGACACACCCATTGAACAACCGTGTAAACTTACACTTTTTGATTCAGTTGGTCGGTTTTTGAAACTGAAACACAGCTGCCCAGATGGAGCAGGGTTTTGGTGAGCTGCTGTTTGTTCTATGGGTAGACAAATAATCCCCGAACTTGTGCGTATATCCTTCACTTCTGACTCATGTTTTGAGATCGAATTTGATAAAAAAGATTTAGGTGAACGTCGACTGAGCCTGAGCATACTAAGCAGAGAGGTGATGAGTGGCTTTTTGACCAGTTCGTCAACAATGCAAGTGCCTGACATCGACGGATTGGCATTGACCTCCAGTAGCCATGGACGCAGATGGTTGTCAATCAGAATATCGAAACCAAAGAGTTCATAAGCGTTTGGTGCCTGAAAATCAGAAGGAGAATGGGGCACTTTTGTACCTTCATACAACTAAGTACACAACCCAAGAACGGTCTGTCGGATTTATAAATTTTGACAATTCATATGCGACTGTGGCATACAGTTGTCCAATTAGGTCTTTCGTCAGTTCTTCTCAGGACGAAATTCCCTTAACATTTCGTTTGACTTGGTAAACATAAGAAATGTGTGCATAGGACTAATATGGTGTTCTTCCATTTTTTCGGATTACAACGCCCGATTAGGGGACGAAACAACTAAAGAATCATTTTGGGGAGATGAAACTATTGTCCACTTCGTCATTTTGTGGTCGAGCTGTCGACCGCATTGGTGAAATCCGTTCAAACGTCTTGATACTTTTCCATAAATCTACAGGTTACAAAACATTACACTACCTTTGTTATCCTCGGTCTAGAGCAACAAATGCAAACATGACTAAATAGGTAAACTACTCTATTTCCCCTACAAAAAAATAAATTGACCATTCAGAAGGAAGAGGGAAACAATTAAACGCGTACCCCAGGTTTTGATAATAAGATGCACTGAAACATGTCTAATGGTGCTGAGACTCTTAATCATAAGACTTAATAGGATATAACAAAAATAATATACGGACTAGCTTTACTGTTGACGAGTATTGACACCGGAGTAAAACGTATTGGAGGACCCCCAGACTACAAACCCTGTCGGGAACCGCGCAACAACTCGTCTTGGCCTAAAATTGTGCATGATCTCTTCGTTAAACCCTCATTTGGTTTTGTGCGTTTTGACCACAACACTACGATTATACCGTAGACAATGTCTTGAGCTGTGGTAAGTGTACTTAACTGCAGTAACGATTTGACGAGTCCTGACATGGATTTGCATGATGTAGCATGAGTAAGAGAGATTTTAACTCATAACGCTATGCTATACACATTTCCAGAGGCTGTTTCCTGAAGTAGTCGTTATTTTAAGGACAGAACGTAAAAACTACATTGTTTGGCTTACCAAGCTTAAATGAGACAACAGAGTTTACATTCGATCATCTGAAGAAACGTCATGTCGAGCGTCGGCGACTCAATATTGTCTCCATAAATGGATATTCTCTGCTCGACGTTTGTTGGGATGGCATTTTGCACAATGAACAGTTTGATGATGGTTGTTTTAGAGCCATGGACCTGATACTTTCAGGGGTAACAGTCTGGAGTCTAGCCTCATAGGACCTGGCCTTTCGAGAGGTGCCGGTTAGGAGTTTACTCTCAAGGAACTTTATGAAATGTTTTCAATTATAGCTAGTGTCTTTTTTGGGGAGGGTATCAATGGAAATATCGAATATATAAACGCAAGTAACATACAATGATAAATTCTACCGTGTTCAGGAAAGGAAGTTTCCAAAAAAAGTAAATGAGTTTCCATTCACCTTTGGGACACTTGGAGCCTGACTCAATAAAGTCAGAAGGATCAAGGCCTTCACTCGAGCCCAAAGATATCGAGTGTTTAAGTTGTGTGCAGTCATCCAGTGACGCAACTGTTTTAACGTCCATTTAGATCCACGTCCTATACCGTTCTGACAAAAAATTGAGGAAAGTTTGGGATTAAAAAACGCCGGCAAATTATTTTGCTCAAAATTTTTTATGCTAAATAGTTCTTGAACCAACCGATAAAAACAACACGGCTAAATTTATGATATATTCCTCTAAAAACTAATTGCTACTCGACGGTCGAATAGCTTTCATCACTTAAGCAGGACACAGTAAACAATACAACGCACACCAGCAGCAAAACGCGTTTTCGATAATTAATGTACTCTTATCCACGTGATAAACCCATACATAGATTAACAGTTGGTTCTCCTGACTAGCACACCTAATCCTCACAAGCTGCTCCCCCCAGTGCATTGGTCTTGATTGCCAGTGATCTTGTCGTTCAAAAATGGGAATTCTCACCTCAAGCTACTGAACAGGTAGTGGACAGTGGGTCACAGATGATTTGATCGTTTCGTTAATTGTGGAAAATTTAGTGATTGAAAGAAGTGAAAGTGAAAATTACGGACTATGGTTGTGAGTGATCCACAGCAGCATCGTTATTTGCTTTCCAGCTATTTAGTGATTTTTCATACACTCTTCTAACTGTCTACCAGTCTTGTTTCGTTGTATGCATAACGTGTTAATTATAGGGTCCATTTGCTTCTCCGGATGACTAGAGCCTAAATGAAGGAAATTACGCATAAATAAATAAAATCTTTTAGTGTTTTAGAGTCCACAAAGTTTTAGGTATTTCACAACAACATCCCACACTGTAAGGCAGCACTAAGAAACTGAACGTAAAGCTACGTAGTATTTTACCGGATTTAAAACCAGGTGATTCCATGCATCGGAATAGTTAGTGAGGTGATCGCTTATCCCGAGGTTTTAGTATTCAAGTGTGGTTTAGGTTGAAAAAGAACGGCTCAATTTTTACTCTTCTGCTAAGGGATGATCAGAGTTTCTGAAAGTCTTTGATACCGCAAAATTCACGAACCAAATTACAAGGTGATATGATGTCTAATGCTTGTTCTGAACTAAACGCAGGTAAACAAAAACAAATCCGCAAACATCACTGAGTCACTGGAACGCTTCTGATAGCCTTTGGTGAGAAAATTCACTTAATACGCACAATACTGGAGTGACGAATGAAGATTTAGCGAGTAGCATCAAGCAAACTTTCTTATTTGGGAAGTGCTATCAAAACCATGTTGTAATATTTTCGCTTATTTATGTCTGTACGTTAGTCCCTCCAGTGCTGTTTAGTGTCTATTTCGGATGTTATTAATATTCCATATCCCCAATGAATCAATCACAGCCCCAGTCTGTTCCATAGCTTGAGACATGAAGTTGTGGATACGTGGTTGTTAGAAATTTTTCCAAGTACGGGAGATAAAACTGTACCACAACAGGTAGAGGTACAGATTTGATGAACTTGAGTCCTCTTCAGATATATCATATGCATTGCAAATGGTTAAAACATACCATTTAGAATCTGGTCTCAGGGCACAATTCAGAGGATGACGATTAATGGAGTGCTGAACAATATCTCCACTGATGAAAATGGGTTAGGAGGTAATTTATCCGCCCAAGTATGATCCTTGTGTGGACAGAAGCGGATTTTGTAGACTGATAACCAATATGTTGTGAACAAAATTTTTCGTAGCAATTATTTAATAAAATTAGACACGTTCAGGCAACTACTAGTTGTGACATGTATTTTGCACTGTGTGTGGGTCAGAGGCAACCATGCAGAATTGAAAGAGGCCACTGTCTTATGAATGTGTGTCAACGATGGACAAGGTACCCAGCCAGTTTGTAGAAGCTGTTTTCTGGTCGAAGGCATTGTTATTCATTTAACTGACTATCTAACAGATTCAGGTTTGGATTGTGACATGTTATTTTTAAGTGGCCCATTAAACAAAATATTGGGCAAATTTGGACAGTGTTTTGACCAGACCAAACTTGAGCGCGAGTATAACCCTTCCAGAAGGATAATTCCACTTTGAACCGCGAACTCACGAGAAAAGTTTGTGCTCTTTTTAAACGAGAATGATTCAAGTGTTTTCCTGTGAATACGTGGTTTCATGTATTGCAGATAAAGTACTTTCACAGACTACGAACGAACCTGTGACACTTGAGCAAACACTCATGATATGAAACAGCAACATACCGACTGATATCAGTATCAACCGGAATCACGTGAAAAGAATAGAAAATCCATTGTCTCCTATTGGTTTTGTGGTAATGCGAACAGGATTCTTTAAATAAAAACACGGCTTTTTGTTACAGTGAGAAATAAGCATTTTGCATACATTTGTTGCATTAGATCTGCCCGACTGCGTTCACCCTTAGCTTATCTACTATTCGTCGAAAATCTATTCAGGGTAATTTATAGAGTTTATTGGTGTAGCCGAATTGGATTTCCACATATGATGAAAATGCAAGCGCTCGCTTTCGCACAGTGTTTCCAAAAACACCTGATAAGTTTGTTATCGTTTCAGTACGCAAAGAGACTTTCAACCGGCAGGATTTGATACCATTCTACTGAATGTAATTTAAGTTTTTTGCTATAAGTTTTTCAGTCTACCCATTTGGGTTTTAGAACTCTGATTTCCCCCTTTAATTCACTGTAGAATGAAACGATAGCAGACATCCTATCATGAATAGGACAGGATCCAATTATAATTGCTGCCGATGAAGCTATTCCTAAAGTTACCTGGTCAACCGATGTAAGCTTCAACGCACTGAAAATATGCTCTTAGTTCATTTTGCGAGCTAAAGTAAATATTCTGGATTCCCTTTTGTTCTTTCATTGTTCAAGAATCTGTTGACGTTTGCCAATGTGCGCGTGCACTGTAATCGGTATTGCACATACAACACCTCGACGGACAATGGGCATCTAAGAACATGCCTACCTTTGTGTGCATCAGATAGACGTCACATGATCTGTTCCACTTCGTTTGGCATTCTGAGGAACAAATTAACTCGCTTGCCTCACGTGACTAGTAACTCAAAATGGGAAGAATTTCATTAGCTCATCCTGTAAGTGATTAGGAAGGAATGCAACCGGTCGTTTTGGCCGATTTTAATCTGACTGGACCTGGACTTTGCTCGGAAACTCTATATTCACAACCGTATTCATGTCCGATCATTCTTAGTGAAAGAACTTATAGAGCCGCTCAGAATATGCCTTCCGGATGTGAACACACACAGATAAGCTGGCTTACCTTATTTAACAGATATCTTGGTCCATTCACGTTAATGGCGGTGTTGGTCAAATGAGAGTAGACGTTCTGCAAATCATTCAAGTCGAATGGTTCCGTGGCGAACCTGACAAGACCTTCTGAATAAATATAGACGATGAATGGTGCGTATGATGGCACAACTGCGTACAACCGCAAGTCAAATTTGTAGCCCTTAATCAGCAGAGGGTCTGTGATGTACTTTTGCACTACAGATTTGGCAAAATAGGCAAACTGCTCCAGCTGATTAAACAGGTAAATTCCTTTTCCCCGTGCCTCGTCGGCTGGTTTCAGTATCCAGATATTTGGCACTTGCTGAGTAGGGTCTGAACAACAGTCAGCGCAGACATGTTGTTCGGAATTTTCGCAACAATCTTCCACTTTGGTCGACTGCTTGGAGGTGATAAGAGAAGGTAGTCGATTTTAGTTGATAACACTTACCGTAAGAATGTCCGAAAATACGACAGGCTCATAAACACGGAAAGAGGTGAATGTCAATTGTTTGGTTGTAAATGAATAAAGTCTAACACCATAAGCAAAAGTGAACGCCCATAGATTATCACGCTCAGAAACTTCGGATACAGGACAATGGACTACTGATTTCTAGAGTGACTGGATAATGGATAATATAAAAAAGATGAATAGAGGCGTGAGCAGATCTGATTTAGTACTTGCACCAGATTCTTGGTTCCTGATCAAATTAGCCTTTTCCCACCCATAGTCCGTCTTGTGTGTGATGGTCAGTACATTCACAGAAAAAGAAGCCGTATCACAAGGCGGAGAACCCAAATCTGCTCCATACCGGTGCGTATAAACCGCATATACTTTGACAGGTTCAAATGCTGATAGTGCTGCCGTTGCTGGTCATCGAGTAACTGATTATTACTTACGAGAAGCCACAACTATAAAAGTAACGGAAACCATTGAAACAGAGTTCATTTGTTCCACCAAATTGTTCTCTGTCTGCAGTGTATGAAGTGCACTTATAGAGTCTCTTGAAGGGGGAACTGACATGCGAGAACAGTTATTAAAAATGGGACGCAGATGGTAAAAAAGAATGCAAGCCATCTGTGAAGAATAAATTAGCCTTCCCGTGAGGCCTACTTATGCGTAACGTACAGGAATGAAGAATGACTCTCCTGAATGACTCCTGAACTTAGTTTTTATGTGGTAGGTTGCACCAAATAGTAGCACGGTAGAGCACTGAATACACATTAAATAAGTGTTCCCCACTCACACCAGTGGTGGTTTTACGCAACACAACACAATATTTGTAAGAAAAATGTATCATTTTTGGCGAACAATTCATGGTTACGCAAAAACAAAACACTTTAGGTTACAAGTATATTACTCAGGTTTCAGAAGTAATGACTTACTTTCGTTTCAGGTAGTCGACCACCTTGAAGAAAAGCTGCAATAAATTGACTTTCCTCCCTGGAATAAAGAAAACGCTAGCAGCTTTTTGACAAGCTCCAACTCAGACAAAGCACGAAACACTCTCTGGTTCCTCTTAAAATTTAAAAATCACCTTGAAGAAGGCATAAGTGGGGAGGAAGATGTGCTGTATATTCACCAGGTAGTGTTAGTTGGATAAAAATGTGTTTTGTGTTCACAGTGTCCCATCAGTTGACGTATGTGAGTAATAGCATGCAGTGGTTGCAGATACTGACACAAGTTTTCCACGCTCATACCACACCACTGACGCTTTACTAACGGACTGTTATGCAGCAAACACCCATCTACCTTCCACATGTCTCGATAATCCGAATAACAACAACAACAACTCTATATTACTATATTTCTTCGTCAGTTTCGTCAACGCGGTTCTTCTTTTTGTGTTTATAAAACCGTAATACCCTGAGTCTATCGTTTGACAGATAGAGCTATTTGGATACCCACAACTCTTTTCCACTTGATGAACGCTTTTCAGCTCGCAGACTTAGGTATATAGCTTATTGCTATGGTATTGGCACATTTCAGCACAAAGTTGATACGCCGTACATTCACACACCCCTGCTTCCAGCTCATCATACGTAGCGAGAAAAAGCACCAAAAATCAGCACAAATGTGTAAAACAGAACAATAAATATTCTGGTCATGTGAAATTGGGGATTAATTTACGAAGATCTCGTCCAATAGGCGAAGCCAGTCTATGTTGAAAAACCGAAAATTATAGCCTAGCCTTACTTACAGGATATCCCCATTGAAAAAATCTCAGAGCGTATAATACCAATAAAATGTAAGTGGCTGAAATATGGAAAAAGGTTCATCCGAACAATAAAACTTCCATCTGAGCATCCGCAACTGGAGTCGATATGTGTGGCCACGTGATGTGACCGGAGGTGCACTATTCCGGTGGTGCAATATTCCATGTCAGACCTATTGACACAGCTGTTCACCTGCTCGTTGTCAAACAGCCATATTCATACGCTGGCCGGAAGTTTGCACGTTCAAAAGACCCGGGTTCTCTGAGATGAGGATTACTAATGATTCCCGACAAGGAAGAAACAGCTGTACAGCGCTTTTTGCCTTTTCAGCATTTATAAGCTTCACTTACAGGAGGAAGTTTCATCAAACAAGAAATATATAAGCACTATTATGTAATGACATATGATGTGGAATATACTCAAGCTGACTAGCTTGTAGGTGATCGAAGAAACTACCGGGCTACATTCTAGCACAGGTATTAGAATAGGTAGGTAGCATAGGTTTTAGGATAATGATTTTTACGAATTCTAGATTCACTAGTTCGAAGTCGGGCAGCGGAATACCCTGAATGAAAATAGGATGTTGTGAAACCATTTCAAGATAAAACGTAACAATCGGTACGTTGTCGTTAAAATTTATAACCGTTCGTAAACTAGGCTGGCATGCAAGTCGTCAGCACTCAGTCTCTCCTTGCTTATGGATCGTATTGTCTACCTCAATACCTGAACAAAATACATGACAGGTGCAGGGAGTTGGAAATGGGTAGCATGTGTTTGCCGCATTTCCTCAGGAAACGCCTAGTGAACGTTTTGAATAGACTCAAATACTTAGGGCAGGGATTAGGGGTTGTGTATTGCTCGGTCAGCTGAATATATAAACCTATCAAAATTTTATCTTCAGAAGTTTAGCTGTTGATGAAATGAGTATGGGTAACACCCAGCAAACTGACTTCCGATGCCACTAACATATTGCGGGCAAGGTGGTGGAAGATGAGCAGTAGACTACCATGTGGCATTCTTCCAGGCGTTTGAGAAGATAAGTTAATATAAAATAACCTTTCAGCTGTAGCACCCTTTTTGGGCCTAGTTGCCATGCCATCCGAAGAAACCATGAGAGCTTGAATATTGCCCGGTTGTCCAAGCCAAGACAGAAATCGAGATGCAGAGGTCAGATTTGACCCACGGAATTTCCGGTCAGTAATTTCGCTTTCTAAACACTAGGAAATAAGCAAGCAAACCGGCAACAGTTAAAAAAACGTATTTCATCTGATAGCTACCGTGAGAATCTGCAAGACCTATGGAAAGATGGTTCCTAATAAAAAGACTACAAAGACTGCCATAGCCAGAGTCTTCGAAAAAACGCAAATGACTTCGGTTCCAGATTTGAAGGAAATGAATCAATTATGAGTACACAAAACTACGAGTGTATTTTTAGGTTTGCGGAAGAAAAACTGCGACATCAGTCAAACCGAACCAACTGTGATATCAAGGTATTTTTCTCCAGAAATACATTGTCATGCTCTGAATAGCGCTGTCATACCAGATTTCCGTCCCCAATGGGACACTTTATAGAGTCTTGGAAGGGTGGGATACACAAAATTAAGGATAGCGGCTTCATTCCGCCGATCATATGGCAACACACTTGCCCATCAGGTTGAATGGAAAGAACATTGGAATTAGTTATGAACCTGAGTTTATTTATTGTTTGATTTGATGATTTTTCGGAAAACGCAAATGCATTTGCAGCAAAGGCCTTCATTTTATAGTCATTTATGTATTCACTATGATCAGTGGAATAGTGTTAGAAGCTCTCCAAACAAAAAACATTTTCTGCTTTTTCATTTATCTCAGTCTAACGATGAGACCCTCAAGTAGATTAATTCAAACAAAAATAAAAACCGCGTTTCCCTTATCACTCACATCGTCTTGTTTTCACACACATTTTCTGTCCTATATGATAGAATTAATTTTAAAATATCGGTCGCTTCATTGCTGTTTTCATATTTTTTGTAAGATGTTACTTATCAACAGTTTTCTTGAAAGGAGGTCCTACATGGTGTGACCTTGAGAATTCCATAAAAGAGATGATAAAGTCCGTTTGTACATTACGAAGGAGCTACCGTTGAACAATGGCCATTTATGCAATGTAAATGGATCAGGTGAATGGAACAGCATGATGTCTCAGATAGCACTTTGTGTTACATTTGTGAACGTCAGGTCATCCGACATTGATACGTAGTGACAAACAGGATGTGTTATCTCATTAATGATCCACTTCGCAAGTAGATACCCTTCATTATGCCTAGTGGCTCTTAAATGACTCTTATGAGTTGTGCTCGGCCACTGTTGTTTTAGCAATAGTTCGTTTGGTTGTGGACAGCCTCCGCAAAAGTCCTGCATACACCAGTTTGGTTTTAGTGGACAGATTAACAGATTGCTATTCCAGGGGCTGGTTTTCTGCCCGTGAACTTATGTAAAAGCCTTCACAGTTCTGTGATTCATACGTCACAAGCAACCGAATTCGAGAGAACTTTGTTCCAAAATGACCCAGCGCACTCCGTCGCCAGCCGCTCATTCTAGAGTAACGCTGTGGCATCTGGCTGTTACCAGTTAGGAAATCAGACCAGCTAAGTCCTGGTGGGTCTGTAGATGATCTGAGGTATAGACACTGGATGACACTGTGATCAGGACTTACTCCAACAGAAATTTGTGATGAATTAAAGCAGCTAAGTACAGGATAACACAAACAGGCAAACAGGCGCCTGCTCTCTCGGAAGTGGTTATAAATATAAAATTTGGCTAAACAGATTAGCAGCAAGCAGGTTTTGTCATTATCATACCACAAGACTGAAGGATTGCTTTTTATCCGACGATGGACTAACGGTTCGCTGTTCATATTAATTCCAATGCGGAGATCATCATGAAAGCAACTATTTGTGAATGGATTGCATAGTGAATTATGACAGCTACTTAAATCTCTTTTTCATTTATTGATTTGCCAAATTAGAACCAGTTATTCCGTCTCATTAAATTTTCAAGAGTGAACCAATGGACCAGACCGCAGATGGAGCATTATTTATGTGCACCACAGCGTGCTTAATGGTAATAAATCATTCTTACCAGGTAGCTGACGTTTCCCGTAATCTTTTGGTTTAGCTGCAATTTGTGTGTGGTTTCAATGCGCGTCTATTTGCGTCATGCCACCCAACCTTGTTCCAGTACCCTTGACTCCGGTGCAGGCGGTAAATAGTGTATGAAAAATTGCACTCTTGGGAATACTGTTTATCCCCATTTAGTTGGGGTTGAAAGCCAGATTTTGGATTAGATGCAGACAAACACTGGCGCAGAGAACGGCAATCATGGCTAGTCAGCCAACCGGATGCGAGACTTTTGTGAGCCACTGATGAGATCGTGACCAAAAATTATCATCTTGAACGTCCAAAATAATAGCACAACATCACGTGGTTGCAGGCTAATAAGGCAGATCGCAAAGCCCATACAATTGGAAACCGCTCCTTGTGACCCTAGGTCATAGATGCATAGGTTAAAACATGGTGCTGTTGATTGATCGAAGTATTTCGGGGCTTTCCTATCGCACAGTTAGGTCTTTGTGTAAAGCATGAAAAATATTCGTGTGTTTGCCTGTAGCTCTGTGCTTTATATGCGCATAACTTAAGCGTCTGACGGTTATTTTCTAATGTTTCCCATTACAGTACAAATTCTTTCATTTACTGACTGGTAGTCAGTCAAATCGGCTATCTAAAATTCCTGGGTGAAATATCGGAAACTTACTGAAAAATGCACTTTCTTTTTCTTTCCACATACAGAAAAGAATATTTCTATCAAACCAGATTGAAGGAGGCAGTTCGCTTCGTTTCTTGTAACAATCTATTGATCGTCGATGGTTTTCCGGTATAAGCTCCGTGCACGATTTTTCTTTGCGTATCAGCACCCTGTTGACCAGCTCTGAGTACTTCGATATTATTGAATCAGAACTTACGTTTATTTGAACGGAGTCCCCTTCGAAAGGTGACGTTTGAGAGAAATGATTCATTTGCCAGTTTAAGTGACAACACAAAAGCAAGTGAACTGGCAATTTAAATAAGCTACAGAAATGTCAGTCCCTTGAATTGAGCTAGCTTAAGGTTTCAGAGCTTAGGTCTAAACTTTTATTCCTAATTACGCACGTCAGTGCGATCCGGAGTATCTTCTAGCTTTCGTTTCACTTCTTCAAGTGAATGATTCCACTTAAGCGGAAATATGTCTCCTCTTGACGGTGTAAACCGTGAATGCTTTGCTATTTTGTAGGCTGCATTCAAACAAACGTTTGAGAATAGCCATTTCGCGGCAGAGGTCACTTTGTGAACTCTTTTTCCTTGTGCACTTGTTTCAGAAAACAAATGCCTCTCACTATATGAAAACGTTCTGCTTATGGAAACATTTCTGATAACCCACTGGTGCCCACCATTTCAAGTTTTTTCTACGGCGAATAGTTGTTGTTCGTGGATACACCTGAGCACGCAGCGAAGGATGCTAAACTATTGTTTGCCTTCTTCTGCTTTTTTCAAGCTATGTAAGCCGAAGTGAAGGTTACTCGCAACTAGCACTTCTCTGATACTGAAATCAGAGTATCACAAAAACTATTTCTTTAAGTTTCGGTTCTTGTGATATCATCACGTAGATGTTTTATATCTTGACGGACCTAGAGGCCTCAAAGACGTCCAGTAGGACGCTTTCAAGTTGACGGTAGTTAACGATTTTACGGCCAATAAGAATGTACTAGCTAGGAAAGCGGACAAGATGTATGGGTAAACGAAGTAGTCGTTTACATATGTAATCCCAATAAATCTAAGAGAATGACGTCCTGGAACGTTGGAGAAATGTGATTAAACAGCGAATGAAACTCACTTGTGAGCTGAGCAATTTCAGAAGAATTCGTTCAACAATACTTGGGTAAACTCCTCCAGTTTTGAGAGCAAGCTTTAGTGAAGTATTCAAAAAGACTGTGTCGTCTAGAGTGCAGCCATGGCTATAAAAATTACATATCGTCTAAGCGCAATTGAATTGGATTCGCTAGTAACCACTATGTAAAATCGGAGGGGAACTGCCATTTGAGTGGGCATGCTTGTGGTCAGCACGCCTTTGTTCCAAGTTCCAAAACCCACTCACCGAAATACTCAAACTCACATAAATGGTATGGTAATGATTGAATCCATTACCCTGATTATATTTTGAGCACGTAGAATCTTTTGTAAGGGCCGATTACTGTCCGCAAAGGTTATATGATTAACTTAAGAAATAAAATTCCTGGCTCCAACTGTCCGGAGGTAACATTTGCGACTACCTGGCAGCGAATCCAACATTAATAAAAACAGTAATGTGCAAGGGGTCGGCTACGTTGTACTTCCAGCAGGGAGAATCTATGTAAAAAAAAGGAGAACTGTGTTCGTCCGAATTTCCCGAGGTACGTCCAAATTTTTCAGCATAGGATTACTGGGATTGTTTTGCAAATGGTGCGACATTGCTTCTTAACTTGACGATATTCATAAACCATAAGAGCGTCTTTTTTGAATGATTAGCACCGCAATATTTTAAGCTGGTTGATTACTGTCAACAAACTTCTCATCTTTACCTGTTGATGGTCCAGTTAATTTTATCACACAATCACTCTTCATCATCCACATTTGGCTCCGCGCACATTACAGACACTTAGCCTCCGGTAATTCTGTCTCGTTAACCGGCATGTCAGCCGCTCACCGGTTAGCATGAAAATACGCTTGCCAGCGGTACGTCAACACATTGCGTTGGAAATGTTGCCAATCAGAGAGAACGTTCCTGTTATACACGTCAAAATGCATGAAAGATCAATCAACTAAATTGCCACCAAGGAGGGAATAAATGTGACTCCGGACTGGGTGAATAACTCACAGATGACTGCTTAAAAATTCTAAAACCCCCGTCACAACCGGTGTTAAGATTAACTTTTGTAACTGACCATACTTGAAGGCGGAATCAGGATGGTTGTCAGACTGTTTGGTAAACCAAAAAACTGGCGATTTTTCTGTTTAGTCGTTTTTAGGGATAGCCTGTATGTAACCGGAATGTAGATGGAATGTAGATGATCATCGATGTGATCAATAATGCCTCTGGTCAAAGCCATATGACATTAAATTCGGACAGGACAAATAATTTCAACCGAGTTTTTGAAGAAGTTTCTGGCTGAAAATTTCAGGATATCGGTTGTATATCACCCTAATCGGCTGTTTCAATAAACCACCAGTTTAGTAATATGCACCACACACAATGTCTTACGCAACGGTTCAAATGAGCACAAAGTACCGGCACCACTCATCCAAACAGTCACAATGGCCGGATGTCAGAGGTATAGTGCCTGGGAGAAGCAACATTTGGTGGTTCAGTATTTATTACTTTCTCAAGGGTGTACGCCATCTGTTTTGTTACACTAGGTTGCACCTTTGAGATGAAGCACCTGGTTCTGTGATTCCCACTTGAGTTTAGCTATTGATGTAGATTTGGTTGAGTCATACCGAGCTGTATGACGGACCGACAGTTATCATACAGTTAAGAGACCGTTGACAATTAGGTCTCACTGACGGACCGAAGTGTTCTGATTTCTCGGTTCACAACGTAGAAATTATGTGAGTGGTTCGGCATAATTATTGTTTCTCGGAAAAAATGTACCCAAATGCCGCAAACTCACTGGTTCCTTAATTATTTAGTCCACTAACCAGGTAACGACATGCTTATGTAGTTACCAAAACTGCCAGATTTACACCTTGGTCTTCAGAGTTTTGAGGACAAGGATCTACCCACCTGAAGAAGCACTTTTTCAGGCTAACTAGGGTTGTACTTTGATTTGTGCCATTCGTTGGGAAACTTCTTTACGAAACCCTTTTTTGCGGAATGCGCCTGAAAATCCGTAACTCCGTAAAAGAGCCCTACATGTTTGACTTCTGTAGCTTGATAACCGTGAGTTTACGCACATCCAAAGATGAGATGACAGAATAAACAGTGAAAATCCACATCTTCCTTATGGGTTTTAGCAGTTTTCCGATTGTTCCACCGGATATCGTATCCCCATAGGTTTCCTTGTACTCAGGCATTTTTCTACTCTTAATTAAATGTCCTGCTGTGGGTGATCATGATGGTTGATGGCTAAATGTCAATAAGCAATATTGTTGGGTATATCTTGCTTCGGGAAGTATGTTTTACTGAAGTTTTGGAGATTTTGTCTAGCTGCTGACTCAAAACTAGTTCGACTAACACTTGGGTTACTTTTGCTTAGTAAAAACATCTCCTCAGTACGGACCCATCCAATTGCGTCAAACTTACTTTCGCACCTACATTTGGCAGGTGCCTTTTTATTCTAGAAACCACCACTGGCTTCCTTTCGTTCCACGTGGAAAGCACGAAAAACTATGTATCCGAACTAGCTTCAACCTTATTACTGAGTTTTATTTTATGCGGCATATTCTTTATGAAACACGCAGTTTTACTGTGCTTTTATGTCTTGGCATTCAAAACTGTAAGGCCTACTACATACTTTCATGTCTATTCCTACACTGCTTATCAGCTGCAATACAGGGCTGTCGGACTTTGACAGCAAAATATATCACACTGCTCATGGAAATATTATTGAACAGGTTTATCAAAAGGTATACAAATCTTGTGACGATCTCGCGAGATCATCCCGATGTCGCATGACCCCAGGGACAAATTTGTCTTCCCATACGTTTATTTGGAGGATGCTCTCCTAGTTTTGTACACAGAAGACACCACCTTCAAAAAAGTGTACTTCTACTTTGGGTGTGTGCCAAGCTTTCGGTTCTGAACCCCATAATACAATGCCTGCATGGACTATATTGAGCAGTGCACTGCTCAAGATACATTAACCGTTTATTCACAATGGTAAGTCAGATAAATACAGAACGCGATTTGTTGAACAGTCGGGAAAGTGATCATCTGGCAGTTAGCTGGTGGTGACGAAAACAGAAATCCACTTCACGGAACATCTTACTTCCAATGTTACTGAAAACGCATTAACAGCTTAGGACCGGTTACACAACCTCTTGAGGTTCAGCAGTTCCCGTCAAACTAGTGCCCTAGTCGATACAAGAGTGTAGGTGATTTGTAAGTAAGAACTGTTGTCTTGTAGAGTTTACACAAGTTTACGAGCATGATAACAGTGTATGGCCAAACGGCAAGGTTACATATATGTCGGATAGATCTCAAAGCCTTCTTATTGACAGGTGAATTTGTCACAGGATAGGTATTCTCAACCAGTTACCTGGTCGTCTGACTAATGCTCAACAGATAAATCAACAGTTTGTTTGATTAACTTTTGGGCTGGTTAAACCCATAATGCACCGAGGCTCCTCAAGTATTGTAGAGGCTATCATTTTCAACACCAAGGACCAAGCTGCGATTAGTCTGTGGACAACTGACAAGAGAACACGAAAGCAACGGTTCGTCACACCCCAATGACTCCTTTACTCTCTTCGTATCATTTGAATCCTGGAACTGTCAGTTCCAGAACTTCATGAATGGTTTCACGGCAACCATTGCGAACCCGTTTAAAACTCCCACGTTACAGCCTAATTAGGTAATTACACAAATAACTAACATTCATTGGAATCAAAGCTTTGGCCTCTAGGACCACGAAATACTAATTTTCTCCACACTGGTGTCCAAAAGCGATTGAGTTTCATTTGTAAGTTGCTTTACTGGAAGATTTAATTTATCGGAATTGATTTATTTCGTATCACGCCGTAATTATTTTTGGCATTCAACATGCAGTTTCCTTTATCTGTCGTAGCGCAAATGTAAGAAGACGTACAACAATACATGAAGGAGGGACATTTAATTTGATCATTCACTGACGCAAACACGCAAAATCTAGGATGCATAAAAACAAACAGTTGGCCGGGGAAAAGGGATTTGAGTCGTTTCCATGGTATGCAAGATTGGCCGATCAATACTTTCCACGTAACGATCGATCTCCTGATCACTGGCATAAGTTTACTCGGTGGTCAAAAATTTCGAATTGGAGTTGCACAATTTATTTGACGAAAAACGCATGGGAACTTTTGAAAATGTGTCATTTAGTTGATACTTGAGGGGTTTACAAAGCTAAATTCTCAATAAAGAGGTGGTGTATAGCAGCTGTTTTGAGTTGGTTTTGGTATTTGTTGTAAGACGCTGGTCCTGTCAGCCACCTCAACAAAGAATAGTGTAAAATGAAAGCCTCAAAAGCCACCTCGAAGTACAACCCACCTGTTGAGTAACACGAGGAGTGTGCGTGCAGCTCGTCTATATCGTTTCATATAGTGACTTCATTCATGTAGATGTTTGCTTGAGCGACAATTCAATTTAGTACTGAATAGTACACATTTCTAACTGCTCGTAACATAAGTGTCCTTATCAATTACTTCGGTGGGGGCTCCGTCACCCTTGACAACAGAATGTTTTTCTCTACAGGCAATCGTTGAACCCATGGACAGATGGCTCCTGTATCTGGTACACTTGGGTGGGTATCTGTTTGCCTGTGAAAACATGACGGGAGGATTCTTAAATTGGTAAACACCAGACAAACCGCCTCCCAGGCGGACATAGTTTTGTGCAGGAAGTGTTAATAATAGAAATGCAGGGAAAGTCCCTGCCTCAAGAAGGCTAAAACAGACACTTGGCTGTCAGAGTTTCAATGAACCTCATAAGTAGCGTTGTGTCAAAAAGACACGAGTCGACCTCAAAAGAGATCGTGTTAGGAAGCAATTATTATAAACCCTATTGTACTTCAGCCTACAACGTGGTTAAATTCGGCAGGCAGAAATCATGAATAAATTGACAACGGTCGCATTTCCTCTCAGGTGCTGGTGTGTAAAGAGGTTTCGTGAACCCACTTAGATATGGTCCGCGGCGGCTGAAGGAAGTTTCCAAAAGGGGGGACCAAGAAACTTCTTGTAACATTAGCACTGATTTCCAGTCTTGGAATTACTCATACGGGTTTCATATTTCCGTCATCCTAAGTCATCTCTCACGGCGATAGTTAGTGTGTGTCGTTTGAATCTGGACCGTCCATTCTTGTAATCCAGGTGGCAGTATGGAAGCGTCGTAATAGCAGTAAAGTGAGACCAAAAAATAATTTTTGAGCTTCACTAACCTTGGTAGATGAAAACTTGTTGGAAGAAGCAGCAACGGGGCACATTTAGGGTAGGTTGCACACATTCGTCGAACAGCTCGTAGAAGACCATCTTTTTTAGTGATGTCCCCTTGCGTCCCCGTCGGTGGTGGATGGTGATTGACGCGTTGTGTTGGTTTCAGCTTGAGAGAGGGTACGAACACACTTACTGTGTTTGACATTTGGCCAAAATGAAGGGTTCATCATTGCCACATTACTTAACAGCATGCGCTGGTATGAAAAGTCCCCGCGGTTTCATTTTTAGTAGCAATTCCAAATCAAACAACTTGCAAACCTATTCAATCAATAAAGACCGTGTCGTTCCGAATATTACCTTGCGCCGCAGCGGACAGCTGGCTTGCTTTCCATGGGGGATTGGTAGCATACCGTGAACCTGATTTTGGACAGAGTCTATATTTTGTGAGACCAACCCAGATTACACCTTGGAGCACTGACAAGGTCATTTCCTCCTACTAAAACCATCTTTGCAAAACAAAACCGTTGGCTTTGTCTGTACAACGGGTAGAATTAACATAAAGAGAACAGGTTTCAGTAAAAATTTATCTTTTAACTTTTCCAGTTTTTGTGGTCTCAAGACCAGAACTGTCCGGTACCATATTTCGTTGCAATTGATTATGAAGTTTGTGAGAAACTTCGTATTTCACAATCACGTATACCTATTTCTCCAGAGTTGTTAGCGTAAAATTAGTTATTCTACAAAGAGAACTCTTTCCAAAGTTACCGTGACAAAATCGACTGATTGATAACCTTCTAGGTGTTTTGCTTTTAACAACAATATGTCCACCACTAATAATAGGAAAACAAGTGGAAAAGAAATAAGAATAAAGGATTTTTTAAAAGAACGCTTTTTGATGCAGTCCTCGCTCAATCCTTCCATTCTCCTGAAACCTCACTGGAGTTCAGGAAATGTGTGCGGCAGACCTTCACACACGTCATGATAGTCTTAAGCGATACACCTCTCCCATTTACTTCAATAACCATCGCGATTTTTGTCGGAAAAAGACAGAGCTCTCTGTATTGAAAGCTGTCGGATGACTACAGGAGTCAGTTATAAAAATTACATCTATCTTACAACTGCAAAAGCCTAGCAAGAAAATACTGGCAAATACAGAAGAAAGCAACTTTGCCCTAGATAATCCCAACTTCCGTTTGTCTATCCAACTCCTTTTGCGTCTAAGACCAGTGAAAATCTCAACCTGAAGTGACCTGATTTCGAAGCTCTATTAATCAGAACATGTGCTCTCGGCTGAAAGTGGCCGCAGCCTCTTTCAGGCGTCGATGTCTACTGTCAGCCTAACTTTGCTTGGGCTGGTTATTGGGCACAAAATGAATGTGTAAGTAATTTTGATCGCAGTTATCTCGGCTGATTTTTGAGATCTTAAGTAGGTGAACCCACTCCGCCGTGTCGTTTAAGACTTACCAGTAGACAACCTTCTTCAACAGCTTGTCATCTTATGACAAATAAACAACGCTTCGATATGTCTTTAACTTGGATTTATCAAGCACTCTTTCTGAGGAGTCAAATTCCGCCCTTTTAACCTTATACTACCCAAAGTGATGTATGAAATATCGGAAGAGCTCCCACAAAGCAGACAAGGGTGGTGCTGTGAGGATAGACGGGATTCTTTAAGTCAAACCCTGGAAAAATAACCCGGGATGTACTTCGACGTTACGGATGCAATGATGAAATTTCCCAAGGATTTTCAGAACTGACTAGGTACAGGTCAGGCAAACACTATTGAGTCAATATTCGTACCCTGTGATTAGTACGTTTCAGCCTAGGATTTTCCGTTTTTACTTCTTCAGGCAGGCCTTTGTTCGTCAGGCCATGAGATACCATGCATAAAATGACCCACGTGATTGGCAACAGATGTTCAGTGATTTACTATCAAACACTTTAAAAATAACGTCACAAACATATGAAACATAAAATGAGTGGCAGAAGAAAAAAGTGCCTACTTTTACCTAGAAGTCAAATGTTTCTATAACGTTCAAGCCATGAGTGCTCCGAAGCAGAGGAAGGTGGGCGTAAGATGCTCATTTACACACTGATTGATAGCAAGTGGTACAGAAAATGAGAGGAGTGCACATTTCTAAAAAAGGGGCCATGCTGCATGACCACGAAGTCTTGGTCAAGAAGTGGTCTTTATACTAGAGTTCCACTCTATTGATTCCAATAGAGTGAATTCTGAAAACCTGATACGCAGATTCTGTTAAATGATGACCTTTGTACAGTTCTCACAGGGGAGCACGACCGCATTTATAAAACAGACTACAATCGTAGCAAAGTTTTTCAAACGCATCCATCTTGAAAAATAGTCCCCTGAACATATGGTCTTCAAGTGAAGCGAACCACAATATATTGGTTGAATGAGACTCTCCTGAGACATGGATATTAACAAACGAGCAGGCAGATAGTACCGTAGCGCCTGGTGGTTGCTAGGATAATTTGATAAAACTCTGAAGCCAATAATGAACCGCGTCCCAAGAAGAAAATGAAACTGACACCTTCAAAGAGCCATCGATGCTCAAATGCAACCAATGCAAACTAGCCTGTGAGTGCAGCCCGAATGCTTTCACTTAGCGTCAGTTACTTGAAAGAAGGCAAATGTTCCTAGCTTTCTAAAGACGCCAACTGCTCTAAAAAAAGTAAAACGCTCAGCTGTGGCATCCTTTCGGTACCTAACTGCCATGCCACGAGAGGGAACCACGAGGTCTGGGATACTGCCAGGTT